ATAAGCTCTACTATGATAATATTTAGAAAAAAATATCTAATTTTTTTCAAGTCCTATAGAAGCGAGGATTGAATATCAAAAAAGATACTAGGAACAATATCAGTTTAAAAGAGGGTAATCCACAACTTCTAATACGCTTATGTTTTATCAAGAAAAAAGAGTAATCTACTCTTACTTAAGAAAAGACAAGGCTCTGATAATGTAAGTATACTCTTATCAATTTGTGAGAGATAAGAATTGGATAAAAGTAAATAAACAAGTATAATAAAATAAAAATAAAGAAGTTTGTATATTAAAAGAAACTAAAATGGCAATTGCCAGAAGACAAAGAAATTAGAGACTCTTGAATTTAGATTAGAAGAAAAAAAAAGAATTGATGAGAGTGAAGAAAGCTTCACTCTTGTCTTTATATATATTATCTAACTAGGAGCTATGTGGCAATGTTCTATAGGGCTTCTAATATGTGTTGACTTTGTAGGACACATACTTAAGCTTACAAAGCAAGTTTTCTATATATGCACCATATAATTAGCTTGTTCTTTAAGTTATTAACATGTATGACATATGGCTAACTTATTGACCATATTTCTAACCTAAAAAGTCAATTATAGATACCTATAAAATCAAAGTAGCATCTATAAAGTTTTTAAGAAGCTTCTATAGAAAATATTATGGAATTAATCTATATTTATCTATTTTTATCTAATTATATAGGTAATTATTGGTTTACATGTGTATGTCCGTGAGATTAGTAGATTAAAGATTTGTTAGTAATTTCATCTTTTAGGCTATAGAGACTTTTTATTATCATAAAAAGATTATAAATTGGTAAAATGAGGTTAGACTAGATAAATAATTAATAATAGGATTAGGCTAAAAAATCCCTAGGATAGATTAGATTGATACTCCAGCATTGACCGTTTGTGAAATAGGATTGAAATCAAACCTCTAGCCACTAAAACAATTATTTAGGATAAAATAGGAGGGTATTAGAAGATCGGCGATTAGATTTGAAAAGCTAGGTTAAAGCTTCTTTTAGAAATGTATGGCTTGTTGTTGTAGAATTTGGTTTGACTTTGCAATTATTGTTCAAACTCAAGATTTGTATTGGTGACATGGAATTTATACAAGACAATTAGGACTAGCACTCTTGACTAGTTTATAAAATTGATATCACATCTATGGTTTAAAATTTGATAGTGCTTGATTAATTAGGTGTAATAAGTATATGTGAAGTTTTGTAATAATCTAAAAGTGCAATTAATAGATATCTAGATTTTGATAGAAGAATGTATCAAAAGTTAACAATTTAAGATGAGATAGGATTTCTATGATATCTAAAGATCTACAAGTTGGATCAACGTGAAATTTGACATAGTATTCAAAGGCTTGAAAATCAAGCTATACAAATATTTTTTTGAGTCCAAGTTAATAGTGGAAGAAGGAGAAATCAATTCTAGATCATTTGCATCAACTTTCAAGTTGGCAGCCAAATACTATCACTATGGTTTTTAGACATTTTTTTAATGATCTTTAAGTTGGATTAGAGTATATTCTTTAAAGCATATAGAAGACTTATAGTGGCATTTTTATGCAAAATTTTGCTTCATGTGGATGGTTAAATTAGGAGCTATAGCTAGCTAAAGCTTGATGATTAGAATTAGGGCTTGCAAAGAAAAAAAAATACTTAATTATAAAAGTAATAAGGCAATTGAAGTTTATGTATAGTTGAAATTATTAAGAAGAGTATTTTTTAGCACTTTATATTGGATTTAAGAATTTTTGAATTAAAATTCAAATTACATTCTTCTGATAAGGATGAAACATATTAGGATTTTTGGATACTTGTAAAACACAACTTTACCTTCTATAATCAAATGGATGGTGCATTTCCAAATAAGATGATACGTAATACAACAACGTGTTTAGTATCATGACCTTATAAGAGACTCCCAATGTTTGGTGATTTTATTAGAGATAGAAGCAAGTCTTGATAATATTTTTAATATTTTATTTGAAGGGAATTACAAAGGCCTCAACAACAATCAAATAACAAGGTGATCTTTTCGCCCTAATATAGAACACTATTAATGACTAAGAGGACCTATCAACAATCTTCAAAGAAAATAAAGTTTAGAATATGTAACAAACATAATTTATTGCATTTTGAATTTCTTCAATATATGATAACCGCTGCTTATCAAACTCATTTCTAGAAGGGAGAATAATATCACAGACCTACATATTTAATTTAATATTTATCTAAATAATTAAATAGAAGTATATAAAAGTAAATTTATTTCATAATATTTTATAGAAAAAGTTCCTAAAAGCTTCATAGACACTACTTTGACTTTATATATGTTTGTAGTTGATTGCGCAAATGAAACTACAACTCAAATATAAAATCTTGTAAAACAAGTGAAAAATATGCACTCCAAAAAAAAAAGACGCAATAGAAGAGACCTAAATTTACAAAGAATTCAAACTCAAGCTTTATCACATTTTGAAGCCAACAACAACAACAAATAAGCCGACAATCTCATCCACTCAAACTCCATTAGCATCCTTCTTCCTTTGAAATTGTAAATTCCTTTGTTTAGACAACTTTAAAGCTTGTGCTTGCTAGTGTCAAAAGCATTTTACAACTCATTGACAAATGCATCAAAAGAATTGATATTATGAAGAGTGTCTTTTATGATTTAATTATTAAAAGAGCTTGGTTGATTGACTTGCAAAGTAGATTATTTGATCTAGCAACAAATTTTTAGCTAGATAGTTTTTACTAGAGCTCGAGATGTATAGGCAAAATTTGGGCCTTCATACTTATAGGCTTCATAAATTGCTAGTTGAACTTGTGGTGGCATTGATGTGTGTAGATCTACTACAATTATTGTAAGTTGAAGCTAATATATGATTTGTATAGGAACTAGCGGAAGCCATGATAAACCTATTATATTGATTCAATGAAGGGATGTGGGTATGAATGTGTGAAAGGAGGTGCAAAAAGGTGGATGTAAGTGAACTAAGTGACAGAGGATTGCTAGTGTAACTACATTAGGGATAGAGACAAGAGATACATATAGGACCCAAGTATTGTAGAAAAGCACAAGCTTTGGGCCTTGATAAAAACTATAAAAAAAAAATAAAAAAAAATAAGTTATCAACTCAAAGGATAAATTTGCAATTATCACAAAGTTAAAAAAACATGTGTAATATTTTCAAAACTCGAGGGATATATTTAATATTTCAAAAAAAAATTAGGAACATGTGTGATATTTGCCTTTGTTTTTACATATTTTTTTCAATTAAAACCAATTTTTTTTACAATTTTTTTTCAAAATAAATTAAATTATTTTCTTATGGCAACATAAAACAACATGACAATGGTTTCTTCTTCATTATTAGAGAATGTAAAATAATGTTGTTTATATTTGAAATTGTTATTTTTTAAACTTTGTGATATAAAAAAAAACTTAAATTTTCAAACAAAAGTTGTAATAAGATAATAGTATTATTATTTTTTATTCTTGTAATTCAATACTTCTCAAATAGTTTATTACCATCCTTTAATTAATCATAATTTATTCTTCACTTTATTTTTGTACAATTAGGCACCAATTATATAGGAACAATTAGTATAACCTTTTATATTGTCATTTCTTACATAAGATAAAAAAATAATTATTCTAAACTTGGAAATAATATCTTATCAACTTGATTTTTGATTTGTTGGCTTCATTTTAACTTACTACATAAACATATAAAAATAATAAGTAAAATTAATTAGAAATATTTTTTATTTATATTTAAATTATTATTATAAATAATAATTAAAAATTATAGAATTTATAAATAAAAATATATTTAAATAATTATACTTAAATATTCCTTATTTAGAATAATTTACTTTTTAACTATCAACTTTTTGTATGAATAGTATCATTTGGCCATACTAAAATAATTCTTCATTAAAGTCAACTATATATTAGTTACTAAGGTTGAAGAATTCAAATTTTTGTATGAAGATTGTCCTTTATGTACCAATATAAAGACAATATTTTATTTAACATTATAAATATATAAAAATATATAATTAATTATATACAAATTATATTATTGAGTAGGAAGAGATTGTAAAATGAATAGAAAAGTGGTATTAAAATCAAGCATAAAAGCATCTTATACTTTTTATGGCTTTGGAACTAGTTGAAAGGCAATACTAGTATTTGCTCAATTAATAATTAAATTTATGTAATTTCTTTGAAAAAATAAAATCACAATAATATATTTTTATACAATCATATGAAAAGTCATATACAAAAGAATACCAAAATAAGTTCCTTAGTATAATTTGACATAAATTGGAAGTCAAATAAATATTAAGAACTATAGAAATCTTGTAAAGCAATTATATGAGGACAAACAACCAAGAAATAATACTACAAACAATGTACTTATCAAATAATGTTATTCACATGTTTAGCTCCTTCTACATGGTGATAATAGTCAAGAGCCATTATAGGCACCATAATGGCAATTATAATATGAGAATCAAATTTTTAAAAATCACTTATTTTATGTAGTTTTAGGAAACACTTAAGAAAAAAAATATCATGTATACCTTTGAAATATGTTGAAATATCAAAAATATCCATGTATTCTCAATAATAGCAAATCTACCTCTCAATTTTGTGCTAATATCAAATCTACCCTTCAACTTGATAAGGTATCACAGCTATTTTTTTAAGTGTAATTAAGACCCAAAGATTCCGACCAGCAACAGCAAACGAAAGTTAAGATGGAATTTGAATGATCCAGTTCCAGGTCGATCGTGTTCACACCGCAGGGGTTCATGCTCGTGTTGGACGCTGTTCACACTACGAAGGATCGAGTTCGCCGAAGACCTCGTTCACACCGCTGCTCCCCCCCCCCCCTGGTCCCACCGGGTGGTGGTGTCCTTGGCAATGCCGCCGTCGGCGTCGCCTTTAAATTTGCTCGCAGTTTGGTTGTCGTAGGATCCATCTGGTCGCAACCAGCCAATTCCTCTCGCCCTGCTGCCTCGCTTCCCATCCAGCATTCCAATGCGCCATGAAGTGTCTAGGGAGACAAACTTTCGAGGGCTTTCGAAGCGTAATTTCTACACTTTGTGTGTTAGAGAGGCGTTCGTTTTGATGACTTGGGTGTAATTTGCGGGCCGGGAGGAGGGGGGAGGATCTTGTTGTGTGATTCAGGGAGGTGGGGAGTTTCGCAATTGAGTATTCTCCTCGGAGTTGCGGAGTATTTGTGGGTGGCAGAACAACGAATGCTTGGATGGTGGTCCCTACTGCTGATGGAATTTTGTGGTGTGCGATGTGCGTTAGAAAGTCTGTAGGTAGAGATAGAGGGAAAAGAAAACCAGAAAAATAAATAAACAAGTAAATAATCCATAGATAACCGAAACTAAGGTTGGTGGATTTGTGGGTTCTGTTGGGAGTTTTTAAAGCTTACATTCTCTTGGATTGGGATTCTTGGGATGGCTGCACGGTTACTTGAGTATTCGGCTACCGCCGACGTCTGTGCACATTGCAATGTCGTCAGGTGTGGTGTGGTCAATGGCACCAGCAAGGGGACCTCCCATGCGAGGATGTTGAAATTAGGACGTGACGACTGGCTTGGGGATGGAAATTTCACTCATACGAGACTTCTTCTGAAGCAAAAAAGACGAAGCTGTCGAATTCATGTTCGAGCTGGGATTGAAGAATTGGCGTTAGATCAGGTCTGAATTGTCGTGCTAATCTGTTTCTTTACACTCTTTGCTGTCGTTTTGTAAAGGCTATGTGGGTTCATCTGTGCTTCGAAAGAGCTTAAGTAACACCTTAAATAAAAACGAGTAACGAAATTTTATGATGCTGTATTCTTATAAAAGATGATTGTCTACCACGATTTTGTTTTATTTTTTTTGATAGCTCTAAATGCTGGACTGTTTATTAAGAGAATGCTGTATGGATTCGTGAGCAGGTGTTGGTTTCGGCAGTTACAGCAAGTACTCTTGCCCAGCTCGTCAAACCTTTTGCAGCAGGCTTGATCGGGAAAGGTTTCAACTGGAAGTTGATTTACAAATCTGGTGGCATGCCTTCTTCTCATTCTGCTGTGAGCACCTCTACTTGCACCATGTTATTTATACAACGCACTTTACTACTCAATTTGATATTTATTCACTCAGCCTGTTGTTGCGCGTCAAATGCTTGCCACCTTTTTCAGTCGCTCAGAACATGTGGAGGCATGATGGTTAGATTCTTTTCTTTTCATTCTTGAGGAAAGAATGGTAAGGGTTGAAAAGTGATTTTAAAGAACTGAATGACACAACTCTGTAATTGTGTACCAGGCTGTTACAGCAGCTGCAACAGCTCTTGCTTATGAGAGGTGAGAAGCACAATCACAACCGGTCTGTTACAATCGTTGCTTTGCTAAAATTAAGTTTTACTCCTACTAAGCCTTAAAAAAGTGCATAAGTTTGGTTGGACTGTCGCACAGCTAGCCGGACCGCTCGTGTTTTGTACATTTCTACTGTTATGACTAGACTGATGACTTTTGCGACGTGGTGATCTCTCCTCCCAGACTGGTGGAATTAACATGGGTGATCTTTGCATGCAGAGGATTATCGGATGGAGTTTTCGGATTATCCGTTATTGTAGCATGCATTGTAATGTATGATGCTCAGGTGAACACAACTCTATTTAAAACTTTAATACATAAGCAAAGTTTTCTTTTGTCTCTACTGTACGTTATCGAATACAAGCACACATTCAGATGCAGGATCACAAGCACTGTGCAGTAATATCTGCAGTGAACATTGATTGAAATTATTTAATTTGGGATGAACCCCACATGCCTCTGTAACGCCACTCTTCTGGTCTACAATATTTGTTTATTCAAGTTTAATCAAAACGTGAGTTATTTGTCTTGTGTTAGGGTGTAAGGAATGCCGTTGGCAAGCAGGCCAAGGTCATAAACACCATGGTCGTATCATACATACCCCAACCTCAGCCTCAGCCTCAGCCTCAAGTGGAGCAATCTCTCCCAGTTGAAATTGGCGCTGAACTCACACAGGATCCTGCTGAAATGGTGAGGGCTGTCTTAGACAAGAACTCTTCATCAAAAGCTATGCTAAACGCGCCATCTTTAGTAATCCTCGACGGTAAATCACCCAGTGCAAGCAAGTCATACAGCGAAACAGCTGCAGATTTCTATAATGGAGCTTATACAAGGTCTAGAGGTTTTTTCGAATTAGCTCGGCAAATGCCAGCCATGCAGGTGGGCGAAGTGGACATCCAAGAGCTTGGAAAGCAGGATGGATGGCGCCTTCTGCCACTGAAAGAATCAATCGGTCATACCAAAATTGAGGTACTTGGAGGAGGTCTTTGGGGAGTTGTGATTACTTGTATACTTCATTCCCTTCATCAGTCTTAGAGGCTTTCAGCTCATGTCATGCTTCCGTTTGCTTGTTTACAGCAATTTTCAAAATCTTCTTGTACCCTTTTTGCCTTCAGGGAATCTAGATCGTAGGCTCACAATTTTGTCATTGTCTTTATACACGTACACATCAATACACATTTTTATCATAAGTGTTATATTTCCTCTATTTCTGGTTTGATGCATGTTTGTGTATGTGATTTAGCTTGTTTTAAGAAAATTGTGGTATCACAAAAATGAAAATAATGACGAAAATGAAATGCTTTGATACATGGACTCATTAATCAGAGGCGTGTCAAAAAGACTTAAGAGCCACTTCATATTGGTACGCAGTACAGGTTTAAGATTACAAAATTGTCAAGTGGAGAAGTTAGAGATTGTTATCAAGGCCTTTGCACTAAGAGTTAAAAGGTAATTTAGAAAATTAATCATAATAAAAACGATATTTAAAGAAAATTAAATCATCATTTAGATTTTTTATTTTTTTTAGATTTTACATTTTTTTTAGATCTTTTTCTTTTAGATTTTTTTTATTTTAGTTTACTCATTGGATAAATTTTAATATGATATAATTTCTATTAACTTATAGTCATCCTTAAAATTTTCAACAAATCAACAGTTATACACTTCATTATATTTTGATACATGAATATTCTATAAAATTACTAAACCTCAGATCTATATATGTATATACACATATTTCCATACACATGCACAAAAAATTCTACATTCAATTTTTTCAATTTTTTATCATGTATATATATATATATATATATATTCACAAAATTAAATTCAAAAAAATTTAAGTTTAGCCTACATAGAGAGAGAAATCAAAATTGCTTGAATTTACAAAACTAGATACACAAAATATATATTTTGATATATCTAAGTAAAAAACGAAAGTGTGATTTCTTGAAATGTTTTTAAAAAACTTTCACTTAAAACTTTAGAAGGATTATCTTTTATGTATTTGTAATGATCATACATTAATATTAATTTGCATCAATTTTATAAATTAATGTAAATTAACTTAAATTTTGTATTAATTTTTTTTATTTATAATTATGATGACAGACCTGAATACAGTATGAGTCTTCCAAAATCAAAGTTGATGAGAATCAAACCAAATCTTGTGTAAAAACCTTGTTTTTCTATGTCAATTAATAAATTTGTCAATAAATATCTGATTTGATTAAATATTGAATGAAAACTCAAATAATTTGGCAATGTTTTTAATATTATCAATAGATCCTACATGTTTTTTTTTTTAAATTTAAATTTTAAATTCTAAGTTCACCAAAAGAGTGATTTTAATTTGTAAATTATTTAACAAAACAATAAAAAAAAAATACCTTGATTGATTTTTCTTTCTATCTTTTTTGAATAGAAGTATTTGTTAGATATTTTTAAAGGATATTTATGGTTTAGAAATAAAAATAATATTTAGATAGATAGAAAATTTATTTAAATATATATATAGAGAGAGAAAGAGATATATATATATATATATATATATATATGTATATATATATATATGTATATATATATTTAATCCCACTATAACTTTTATTATTGCCACCACAATCCTTCATCCACTCAACAATTTTTTTTTCTTCTTTCTATTCTAATAATTATTTTTTTATATTTCAAATATATATATATATATATATATATATACATATATATTGAACCATGATATAAAAACCATTGTAGAAATAACAAAAACCAATTGACCAAATTTTGACTAATAGTTTTATAAAATAGTGGTGGTAGTAACAAAAATTGTAGTGACATTAAGAGTACTCTATATATAAACTCTTATATAAGATGGGTTAAATAAATTCTTTGAAATAATTGGTAAAAAGAATATTAATAATAAAGTAGTAACAAAACATGTATCTAATAAATAAAAATGATGAACTTAATTTGAAGTCTTTTAAAATTTTTTGAAATTAAAGTTGAAGAATCAATAAAAATTATAATAAAGTATTGATTTTTTATCTAGTATTCTATATATGTATTAGACAAAAAAATTATTATAACTCTATAGATAGGTTTTAATAATGGTGGTTTTTATATTAAAAAAAAAAAAAAAAAAAAAAAACCCTTCTATAAGTCAATATTATCCTTAAAAAATATTTAAATGTTTTAGGGAGAAAATTAGTAAGTTTCATTTCTTTTAATTATAAGATTATGATTCTTCTACTTGAATTTTACTTTGAATAGAATTCTCAGTGGACAATAGTATAGAAATTCGTAAAACTTTCAAAAAGAGGATTTTTAAAGATATCGTTGCAAGAAATAAAGAAATACCATTTGTAAGAAAAATCTTCTATAATATTTCGTATTGTAATAGAAAAAAAAATGACATAGTAAGCTTATCTAAATCAAACAAAAATCATCTCTTTACTATAATAAAAAAGAATCCTTATCAAAATTTTATTGTAATAATACTCATTTAAAAAAAATAAAAATGTATAAAAGATTAAATTAATGTAGTGGATTTTTTTTTCTATAGAGAAACTACTTTGTAATTAGAAAAAATACTAATACCAACAAAGAATACCAATATTATTAACAAGGTGTGAGGCTTATGGTGGCACCACCATCAAAATCTGTATATATTCATCCATTCTCGTGTATAATATACGTATAGCACAATACATACGTGAACCATCCACCTTAACGTCATCCATCCACTCATCCATCCATCCTCCTCTTCATCCACGAGCCCATCGACGCACGCATCCATCCATCAGATTATTTATTCATTCATCCATCAGATTATTTATTCATCCATCCAAAAAGCATGCTGCCGTCCTCGCTCTCCGCAGGTCCGCCATAGCCGCGCTGCAAAGGAGCTGCAAGGATTTGTTTCCAAGCTCTCTCGCTACTGTCTCGCACCTCGGTGTTTCCTACGACGCATCATCGTATAGTGGACCGCTGTGGGATTCCATCCGAGATTTTTTTAAGAGAAATCGGTGCAAATTTAGGTCCGAATTGAGCAACAGGAGAAGAATTAAACCCGGGGAGAACGAAGGAGAAGACGTGGGATTGAAAAGCCACGGGAGAGTTTTGCGAAACAATTACATGTATGAGCGAAACCCTCTCGTAACGATGAGAGAATAAATATTACCAGATGCAAGCAGAGCTCGTCTTGGTGAGCTCGATCTTATGGGGCATTATCACCTTTTGTTATCTCCTGCAGTTCTAGCTCTTCCTATACCTTCCTGACGCTCACGCTTCTAGCTTGCATTTTCATCTACAAGACCCCTTTCCTTCATTCCATCTACGCTGTTAAGTTTTGGGTGCACGAGGGCTGCTCTCATGAGCGCTTCAAAACCAGGGGATCCGTGCTTCTCAACGAACCTCGCAACGGACGCCTGTGTTTCGGGACTGACGGATCGTTCCAACCACTCTTGCTGCGGATCCTGAGCGTTCGTAGCAGCAGCAGCAGCATCATTAAAGTGAGGCCGCACAAAATTCTCGTACAGAAAGGTTCCACCTCGGAATTGAGGCAACACAAGCCACGATGCGATCACCAACTTGATTGTTGAGTAAAACGGAATCCAGACGATCACTGGTGCGAGGGCTATTTCGAGGAGCAACGCCAAGGAGCACAACACCCAGTACGTCAACCATTGCCGGTCGTCTCTCATGTCAGGGCTCTCAATCGCCATGATCGACGCAATCAAGGGATACAGTAACATCATCAGGGGTCCCGACCAAGCATAACCTTGCAAGACCAACGCCCAGAGCCATCCCATCTTCAAACTCCAACCCAAACCTGCAAACAACAAATACTTAGCAAGGAAACTGCTCTCCTAACCAAAGCGTAAAAAATGCTTCAGTATCCGTGTATGAACTAAATCGATCTCCAACTGTGCTCAACTCTAACTCAGGGTAGAAATCCAGTAGAAGTGATGGAGATGCTACAGCTTGCTTCACGCAAGGCTTCAATGAAGGAAAGAGTTGGCCGACTTGGACCCTTTACCGAGTCCATCACACGAAGTTCTTATTTGTGTGCAGCATCTCGAAGCCCAGGCGTTCGATGTCTACATATCTTACTGTCAAGTTGCAGGAATATATGTGGGCAGGAATCTAAAAGTTGATGTGGAATCTTCTTTGGATGACAAGTTGAATCTGGGCGACGAAAGCTGCTGCTTAGCGCTGGGCTGGATCAAAAACTTGAGTGACAATTTCTATGAACGTCGGGTGAGGTGCAGGCCTCGGAGCTGTGCAATGATTCTTCGTGATGCTTGCAGGCTTTGTTGGTATGTGAGACCCATGCAGGAATCTTTGAATTGTTTATGAATATGCAATTGGTGTTCCATTGCTGGCTGGGTCTTCCTGTTGCATCATTGGTTGGTGACTCCAACAGCTAGCAGGCTTTTCCGTATGTTGTGATTTCTATTGTGTTCAGTCGCTGGAACACAAACCTTCTGAATATCTAGGACAGGTTGAGTGCGTACAGAGAAGCGATACACAACGAGAGAGAGCGAGAGAGAGAGAGATCATGGCTACTTTGTAACTGCTACCTCTTTCAAATATGTCGATATATATATATATATATATATATATATATATTTTTATTTTTTTTAACTGTTTCGAAGCTGATCCTTAGATATCTAGATCGGTGTGACTTGTTTCTGGAGGTTCGAACTAACTCTTATATCTGTTCACTCATTAGGAACTGAACCCTGTAAGAAAGTACCTGATTTCAGAGTGAAGCGTGCGCAATTGCGAGTACATCGCATTGACGGTGTTCAGTACATTGTGGTCTCACCACTTCCCCTCGATTAATCAAAAGGAACACAGCCAGCTTCATAGCTTCAGCTGAGATAACCCTCCTATTAAACTCAAATGAGAAAAAGCCATTGCTGGATCAACAGATGACCGAGTCAATGGCTTGGATCTTCATCCCACAACCTCTAAAAGCCAACATCGGTTCTGTCTCGTTCCAAGAGCCGAGCCTAAAAAAATAACGTTAGTGTTACATCTTTTTCTTCTTCTAGTAGCGCAGAAACACTGCCCCTACGAACAAGCAGCCCAGTCACGGAACACGAATGCGAAACCTTCACTTGCACGTTGTGATCAGTGAAGCCTCCAAACCAGGACCAGGAACACCCCCACGTTTGTTCGTGTTCTCAGGGTCACCGAACGCACATG